AGCAGTTTCCATTTTCTTTTCCAAATCTCTAAATAACCCCTATATAAACCCTAAACCCCCCTTAGCCCTAAATAGCAGTTTCCATTTTTATTTTCCGTTATCCCTAAATAACCCCTTTATTAACCCTAAACCCCCCTTAGCCCTAAATAGCAGTTTCCATTTTATTTTCCATTATCCCGAAATAACCCCTATATAAACCCTAAACCCTAAACCCTATATCAACCCTAAACCCTTTGAAGGAGAAGCAGCTGGAGCACCTCCGGCCGATTGGAGGCGGTGCTCCGCCAGCGGCGGAGGTTGTGGCGCAGGGGGCCCAGGGAACAGTTTGGGGATTTAGGATTTAGGGTTTAGGGTTTAGGGTTTTAGGAATTGGGGTTTGGGGCCTAGCTGCTTAGCTTAAAGAGACATGACTTGGTAGTAGCTGGTATGAACGCGTGCATCTTGCAGCATGTGACGCTGAAGCTGCGTTGGCTTAGGGCTTCATGGCTCGCAACTGCTGCAGGAATCAGATTGCTCTGAAATATTTATCAACAGTTTTTGCTCCCAGTAATTCCCAGTACCTAGATGGCCTATCCACGGAAGCCCGCCGAAAACCATTCAAAACGCTTCGAAGCCTTTACATATAGTTATGTAGTGCCCTTGCAGCCATGGCTCCGGGTGCGCTGGGCCGGCTGTTTGTCTTCTTCCTACTGTGGCCCGCTGCGTGCGCAACAGAATTTCGGATGGCAAGCTTTAGACTCGACCCCGCAAAACCTGTGCAATTTGTTTATTAAATTATTGTTGCTACATGGGGTTAGATAGGATTATATTGGAGTGTATAGGGCTCATGTAGGGTCATATAGGGTTCAAAAGGGATCAAATAGTGGGAATCCTATGGGCTTGTCTAACCCAAGTCTCTCTGATCGACAAGGACTTCCCGGGCAAGTATGTGATCAAGAATGCGGCCAGTGGCCGGAGACCTGCCTGGGAGTAGTGCGCACATGGGCTCTAATAGTGCATGGGTAATATAGGGTTATATAGGGGTATACAGGGGTAATGGAAAAGAAAATGGAAACTACTACATTATTCTCAACAGTTTTCAAAGCACCTTCAAGTGTGATTTTGCAAGTAGAGGCTTTCTCTCCCCCTGCCCTTTTCCCCTTCTTTCGTTTTGCCTCTTTGCCCACCTCTCTCTCCTCTCCTCTTTCTCCCCTTTATCTATGACGACTCTGACTCGGTATGCCTGCAGTTAATTGCACTGCTTTCCATAATGATGAATTCAATAGTATCCCATGCCGATCCGTGGATCCTTGGCGATGCTTGCAACCCAAAATGCAAGTAGGGTTCAGAATTCCCAGATAATTTCTCGTGCGTTCCTTCCATTAGGCTCTGCCTTGGAATTGCCTTTTCATTGGGTTCCGCGTGTCATTCAAACCGGGTTCTCCTTGCTCTCTCTTCTGCTGCCCCTTACTTGGCTGGGTTTATTTGTTGTCTGCTGTCAATCTGCGAACTACTTTTACAGGAGACTGGGGAATAGCGGCCTCGGCTTTTTCGCCACCACCTACGGTCCCATCTCAGAGGAGCATAGCTGGATGGGAAGGGGAAGCTTGTCCGTTTGGAGCACTTGGAGTCCGGAAAGGAAGTTGTCACCATTAAGCAACCTCCCTGACAGATAGTGGACCCATCAAGGATTCTTTGCGCCTTGCAGTTCAGGGGTCAGCTTAGCACATCTGAGGAGGAGGTGGCTTTAAATTGAATCAGGTTACGCCAAGTCAGCTAAACCAAATGGCTAATTCCTGGGTGCAGCTTTCTACTCAGGCTTCACAGAACTGAGAAGCAGCTGCGCACGTTTGAGTTGGTCACACCCTACTGTCAAAAAATCCTTACTTCCATTCCTCCTTGCTTTTCTAGAATGCTTGCACTAGCTACCACTCCAAGAGTCCATGCTGGCTTCTTCATACCCCATCGGACTGTTTAGACTTCCGCTACCTGGTCGGGCAGAGTACATGGCAGGAGCACATGTGGAGACTCCATGAAGAAGGAAACAACAGTTTCAGCCTGAGCAATGTTGCAGCTCGACCGCAATTGGAGAAGCCAGGTGTGCCGAGAACAGTGAAGATGATAATCCTCCAAACCAAAGCAAAGGGCTACCCTCACTTGCTTGATGACGGATGCAATGTTACCTACCTGCGCCTAGCCGCTACCAACCCTAAACCCTCAACCCTATATAACCCATTAGTAGTTTCCATTTTCTTTTCCATTATCCCTAAATAACCCCAATATAGTCCCCAATATACTATAGTAGTTCCCATTTCATTTTCCATTCTCCTAATATAACCCCACTATACTATAGCAGTCCCCAATATAACAGCCTCTTCACGAAAGGTTTCTGGCAGCCGCATCCTCGCCCAGAGCGGCTACGAAGGGGCGCAGGGCTTTTTCGCCGTTGCGGACGGCCCGGTCTACCAGGATCCCGTCCTTTGAAGCAAAGCCAAGACATTAAATGCGATTTGGAACCCGGAGCCCTGAAATGGATTGCTGTTTAGGGAGTAGCTCTGTTGCACGCAAGGACCAAAAGTGGCATCTTATGATGCAGACGGACGGAACCTTCGTCATCGCTAATGCTAAGTCCGGTCGACGCATCTGGGCGCAGGACGAGGACCTTTGCTTGGAAGGGGTAGAGATAAATACGGGGCTTCCAACAACTGGGGATCCGTTCGTGGAAGCCATACTTGTTAGACTCTCAAAATCAGGGCCCCTTGCTGGGCGCATTTAATTTCAGGGCCCGAAACTTAGTAAGGGCACAAAATGGTACGACCACCTACCATTTTAGGGATTATCAGGGGAAGAATTATTGGGGTCCCTCTTACTTGAGGAGATGCTCATAACATAGGGAGGGCGGTAGAAGTGCTCCTTCAATTCGCCTTCGGTTCTTCCTCATCGCCCCGTGTCAGTGTTCAAGTTCATGTTGTTTCCACTCATCCGTTTTATGTTGACCTTGGCCTCCCCTAGGCATGACATCACACAGAATCGGAGGTCAACATTGATAAAATTCTCGAAGCCACGGGGTCTTGACCTACACACTAACAGCAACGCGTATATTAGATATCAGAGGTTTCCCCCTTAATATTCCCTTCATGATCCCTACATATGGGAGCTTCCCCCTTATACTCCCTTCATATCCGAGGTTTGCTCCTTACACTGATGAAATATGAACCCCTTATATAACCCCTATATAACCCCATGCAATCCCTATATCATCCCTGTATCATCCCTACATAACCCCTATATGAGTAGTATTTTGTTTGGGGGAATACCATGGTACCCATTATAGAGTCAGATTATATCATCCTTTTGGGTATAGTATTTTGATATAAGGAATACAATCTTACTAGGTTCAACCACCCAAAAAAACACTACCCATATCAGACCCCTCATAGAAGCCCTGTGTGGCCCTGCCTGAGGGTGGTTCAGGCGCCAGCTTCGGGGCTTCGCAGAGCCCTCCCGAAGCGCAGGCTTGGTGGCTGATCAGGCCCTTTGGTTTACGGTTTAGGGTTTCGGGTTTGGGGGGGGTTCTTTTGGGAGTTCAGGGGTTTAGGGCTTATTAAGGTTTGGGGTTTAGGGTTTGGGGTAGGGTCTTATAGGGGTTCATATGATCTATAGTCTAAACTCTTTCAAGGGGGCTTATATGCGGGATTATATAGGGGACTGTTATAGGGGTTACATGGGTTCATATAGGTAGGGGGTGGTTCATATAGGTAGGGTTTTATGGGGTTAGATGGTGTTTATCTAGGATATTTTTGGGGCTATGTAGGGTTTGATAGGGATCATGTCCGGTCTTATGGGAGTTATAGAGGGTTTACCTAGGGGTTTATGCAGGGTTTGTCAAGCAGTTTGATTGGGATTATGTCCGGTCTTCTAGGGGTGAATTAAGCATGGTTTAGCTAGGGGTCTATACAGGGTTTGTCTACCGGTTTGATAGGGATTATGTCCAGTCTTATCGGGGTTATATAGAGTTTATCTAGGGTTTGTAATGGGCTTGTTTCGGGGTTTGAGGGATTTTGTCCGGTCCTATGGGGTTATATAGAGTTTATCTAGGGGTTTAAATAGGGTTTGTCTAGGAGTTTGATTGGGATTATGTCCGGTGTTCTAAGTGTTAATCAAATAGGGTTTATCTAGGGATCTATATAGGGTTTGTCTACGGGTTTGGCAGGGGTTATGTCCGGTCTTATAGGGTTTTGTAGGGTTTATCTAGGGATTCGTATAGGGTTTGTCTAGGAGTCCGGTCTTCTAGGGGTTAAACAGGGTTTATCCAGGGGTTTATATAGGTTTTGTTCAGGGGTTTGATGGGGATCATGTCAGTTTTTCTAGGGGTTATATAGAGTCATCGAGGGGTTTAAATAGGGTTTTTTGCCTAGGGGTTTGATAGGGATTATGCTCGGTCTTCTAGGGGCTATATAGCTTTTACTAGCTAGGGGTTTATGTAGGGTTTATCTAGGGGTTTGAGAGGGATTCTGTACAGTCTTATAGGGGTTAGCTAGGGTTTGTCTAAGGCCCTTTATGGAGACTACATGGAGTACGTAGAGATTATATAGGCTTAGATAGGGGTCAGCATTCGTCTCCCACCCGGAGCCCTTCACTGCCCCCTATGGTCAATGATACGCCGCATGGTTAACAAATCCCCCGCCCTCCCCTGTGAGAGGTTTTCTGACAGGCTTTTGTAGGGTCATCAAGGTTGAGAGCTAAATACAGGGCCTATGCCAGTTGAAAGGTTAAGAATTGTATAGAGATCGGCAGAAGGTTTACAGAGAGTTGATAGATTTTCTGGAACGCCTGTAAAGGTTTGAAGAATTTTTTGCAGGGTTTGTAAAGGGTTTACTGCAAAATAAGGGGAACATGGAATGGAAACTGGAGTTGCAGAGTTATGTAAGATGAGGATTCGAGGAATACCCAGAAAAATTTGGACAGAGAGGGTCCCCAGGACAAGCAATGCTGTGAAGTGTTCAGGGCCACACTGCGCTTCATATAATAGTATGAAGTGATCTTGGGAGCCCTGCTTCAGATAAGATTTGCAAGGCCTTGAGCAGTTGAAGGAGTGGCAACAAAAGTAGTGGTTGTCGCAGTGGCAACAGCTTTCGGCTCAATAGTGCTGGCCGAAGGAGAGTTTGATTAAGGGGTTAGAAGGGGGTAGCTCAGATAGTGCTGGGGACACTGCTGACACTATGCCCGTGCCACAGCGTGCTGTGACAATTGCAGAGACTGCCGAGGAGCCTTGGCAAGAGGCCCAGCCGAAGCGACGTAAGAAAGAGGGTAAGGGATCAGGACAGAATAATCGGACTCAACCCGTTTCTGCTCCTGCTTCCACCGCTTCATCGCAAGGACCTGCCAACCCCCCTGAGGCCCGTGAGCCGACCAAGGTAATGATTCAGGCCATGATTGGTACCGCCACTGTTTCTCGTGAGGCCCGCATGCATGGATTGGGCAAATCGCCTGCGCCAGCCCTCAAGCAAGCTGTGAGGAAGGCATCAGGGGTTAGCCAGCCTGCCACTACTGTCGTTCTCCGTTTTGTGGCGGACGCCAAATATCTCGCTGAGGATGAATGGAAAGCCATTAACAACAAGCCTGCGGCATCCATTCGCGCCTGGGCCGCAGCACATGCCGCAACGCACACCCTGGCTCTTAAGGACATGTGGAGCTTCCGTGTTGTTGGGGACAAGGATAGCCCCAGAGCCTTCTTGTCAGGCCTTGCTCGTGTACAAAAGGATGCAGCCTCCATCTTCACCGCGCTCAGTGGACGAGATCGCTGGTTTGTTGAGCAGCCAGGGGCAAAAACACCAGTGTCATGGATCAAGCGTAATCAGAGCGAAGCTGCTAAGGATTTTCTGGACAGGGTGTATGCCCAAGCCAAGGGCAGAGGGGTGGCCTCGGTGTGAGGCTTACGGATGAGGAGAGCACGCAGCTGCCTCAGCAACAGCCATTTCGTACATACCGCATCTGGCCGGTTCCACTTGACTGGACACAGGAAACATTGGAGCATGAGCTTCAGCAGTTCAAAATCACTGATTTGGCTTTCATCGCACGCCACCCATGCAAGGGAGGCACCAAGTTCCTGTACCGAGGTCGAGCCACGGACCTCGAGCTTGCAGTGTTGGAGCACTCTGCAGGTGCAATCCAAATACTCATGCAGCGACAGTCCCAGCGACAGGCGCATGCAACACCTGTTCGGCCCGGCCGCGGTGCATTCAGCTCAACAGCGGCTAAGTCGGAGCGACCTGCGCCAAACCCAGTTCAGCCTACAGCCGCTGCCACGGACTCACAATCCACACCTGGAAGGGAAAGGCCTCCTGCTCAGCACGCCCCTGCCAAACGGCAAGCTGTCGCGGCTCCTGCCGCTCCTACGTTCACGCTACCGGAGGGCTTGGCTCGCAAGTCCAATCCGGGTCAAGGGGACTGCTTATTCTTTGCTCTTGAGCAAGCCCTAGGAACCAATAAGCTGGCATTGCGTGCTTCTGTTTGTGCACATTTGCGTCGCCATGATGCGCACTACAAGTCTCTGTGGACATGCCTAGCTCCCGCTAAGGAGGACACGCCAATGACCGATTGGGAGGAGTACCTCACTGCTCTTGCCAAGCCTGGTGCCTGGACCAGTCTGCTAGAGATACACGCTGCTGCCAAACATCTTCCATGCCTGCGCAGGTTTGCAATCGTTCCGGTAAAGCTGGTCCACCCCTAGTCTTGTGGTACGAGCGCTCGCTCTATGAACTCGTGGAAGGTAACCTACCAGCTGATGCAGTACGTGACGCTGTCAATGCAGCTAAGGCTGGCTCAGGTTGCACGAGGTTGTCGGCCTTCGCCGCATGTTCCAATGCAGTGCAGGGTGGGGCAAACATGCCCTCACACCCATCCGCAGCTTGCCCAAATGCCCATGCCACTGCCATGCCGCAAGGGGGCAGATCAGCCCTCATCAGGCCCAGACCCCCCATCTCGCTGCGAGAGGGGGGGTCTGGGGCGGATTTCTGCTGCACAGCCTCCTCATCAGACCCAGACCCAGCATCTCGCAGCGAGAGGGGGGGTCTGGGGCATTCGCTTTGTGCCTGCACACAGCCTCATCAGGCCCAGACCCCCGTCTCGCAGCGAGAGGGTCAGCCCTCACTTTCTGCTGCGCAGCCTTCCAACAGCCTGCGTCAGGCCACACGCGGTGGACTGCCATGTCAGGAGGCGGTGCTACTCGCCTGTCAGCCTTCACTGCCTGTCGGACCCCACGTGCAAAGAAAAGCCAAAGCCACTCAGCAGGCCAACTTTTTATTGTTCAGTCCTTCGCCATTTCTTCTGTGCAACGCCCCATCTGCTGTTGCCGGCACGTGCGATGATGCTGATTCCTGCGTCACAGGCCTTCTGCATACTGCCTCAGGGCCTAGTCCTGATGTCGCGAATCTCGCCGATGCTGTGTGCGCAGATGATGCCGACCCGCCGGCCGCTGCTGAGCCCATCGTGTGCCGCAAACGCATTGTTCGGGATAGCTGGACCTGTCCCATCTGCAACTATGACACGGGCAAGCATAAGCACTGGGGGGGCCGTAAGCAGGAACACATCGCTCGCTGGCACCCGCATTTGCGCAAGGCTCTCAGGTTGTACGCTCAACGAGCTGTGCCTCGGTTCATAGGGCCCAAGAGGCCCGATCGTGTTCGCATCCACTGCCGTAAAGCCGCCAAAGTGCGTAGCAATGTTGCCATGAGCAAGCGCCTCAAATGCACCAAAGCCTACAGGGGTGAGCAC